CTCATCTTATAAACAACAATAATCGCAACAGAAATACCAACAATATACACATTCACCACATCAATACACAACTTCTTTATGCAATCATATAATGCGACTAAATACTAAAAAAATGCATGTGGTACCATTGGAGCAGAACTCCCATCTTAATAATCTTCCAATAAATAGTGGCATCAATAAGGCATAAGCCTTCATCTTAATATTCGCCAATATAGGTCATCTTAATAAGCATAAGCTCCATCTTGAAATGCAATGTATGCGACACAATCATGAATGTAATGACAACACCAAAATCAACAACATCTCAACACAACATCATCGTTGGCCAGAAGCCTACATCTTAATAGTTGCCCATTTATTAGAGGCATCTCAACATCTTTCATCAGCATCATTCATCAACATCATTTATCATCATAATTCGTCAAACATCATTTATACATCATAATTCATCAAACATCATTTATCATCAACAACTCAGCCATACAACAATACAATAGTAAATCATCAATCTTGCAATGTTGGCCATAGGCCTACAACATGATATTGCCTATAATTAATTAATCATCCATGGCTTACTTATAAATTACCAAACCTCTACATATTACTATTCTTTAATACTACATCATTATCATCATTAATCCTACTGTTACAAACCAAACAGTAATCGATAATCATCTCATCCTCATCATTCTTTACAAAAATCAACATAGCGATTAACGCGGGAACTAACTCTAATCCTAATTTGGATGCTAGGATTATCCTTCGTATTCTTCATTTTAATTCTTAAGAAGGAAGTTCACCAGGTTAGCTATTCAACGCTTTAAACGACAGCTCAAACAGAGTCCGAAAACTCAAGTTACAGCCTTTTCAAACTGATTCAGTCAAAAACCAGACAACATGGATCGACGCGTAATGCCTTGGGTCGACGCGTACTAGACTTAACACGCTACATGAGTTGACGCATACTCTCTTTGTATCGACTCATACTGAGTCTGCAACACTGCATGTATCGATACATTCTCCTTTGTATCGACTCATCCTGAGTCTAAAAGCCTTCATGTATCGGCGCCTGCCTTCTTCATATCGACTCATCCTGAGTCCAAAAGCCTTCTTGCATCTATGCATAGCACTTGGGGTCGACACGTATTGTTCTCTCATGGATATTTTCTGCGATTTCATTGCGTTTTCACTACGGTTTCCATGCTTTAGGCCTTAAAAACATCCTCTAATCATAGATAATCATCAATTATAATTATCCTATAATTCTACATCAAATATACAACATTAGGGCATCATTATTGATCTTTCAATCATTGATTCTCATCATACAACAACATATAATTCAATCATGAACAAGACAACATTTTCACATCTAATCCCCTAAACCAATCATCAAAAACCCTATTATAGAGTCAGAACCCCACCCTTACCTTGGATTGAAGGTTGCTCTATAACTTTTCCAGTTGATTTTCGTTCTGGCTCTTTTCCTTCTTTCCAACAATTTTCACGTTCTCTTCTTTCAACCGTTATTCTTTCTCTCTTATTGCTTCTTCTTTCCTCCTTTTTATTTCTAACAATAATAAAATAACCCTATTATTCTCTTTATTCCTTAATGGGCTTAAGACTACTACACCCCCCTTATTTCTACTTCTATCCTATAAAATAAGCCCACATCAAATAATATTATCATTCTAATATTATCCCACAATTTAATAAAATAATTAAATCCAATTAATCACAACACAATATCTAACATAATAACACAACTTCATAAATATTCCAAAAATTAATTTAATTAAATAATTAATCAAATTACGGGCGTTACATGGACTCCAAGTGAGATTGGGCTCTTAGTTAGATCCATGTTGTCGGAATTATTCAGATGGATGATATGATAGGTGTTGCACCCCAAAATTTTCCCTCTCACTTTACTAAACACGTGCTCATTTAGGTCCTCAATTTCCCCAAGGATGCTTAAGGATTGACCAGACAAATCCTCCTCCTAAGATAATGAGCCTCAAACTAGGGTTTTCATTTTTATCAAGATGTTTGAGTTCTAAGGGTCCCAAATGATTTCCGTTGCCCTAATATGTTCTCAAGATCATCCATGTCAAGTATCATGCCTTTCACAAGAAGTTGCTCAGTCAATTGCTCAAATGCCTAAAAATCAACTATATTAGGTCAAAAGTCAACTGTGGTCCTCATGCAGTCAAACTTCAAGATTTTTGGTCAACAACAACATTTTGGAGTGATATTCATCATTTGATCAAGGGTTGATCATGATTCCTCAAGAAATGCTCCTAATTCATCAAAACTCAAAAGTTGCTAAATTAGGGTTCCTATAGGAAAAGTCAACCAAACTTTGACCAGACATAACCTTCTCATACTTTATCAGAAATTTCTCATCCAAGGCTCATTTTTAGGAGAATTAAATTCCCTGCAACTCATCTTCATCCCTCAAGTTCAAGAAATGCACTCATGAAAAGATATAAATTCAGACATTATAGGTCCTTTTCAAAAGTCAACAAAAACACATTTTGGGTCAAAGCTTCTTACATGAACATGGAAGATCCAATTGAGATGAAACCATAGAGGTTTCTTAGGGGACACCCTAGGCATTCTAAAAAGTCTAAGAACACCCTCATAGATTTAAAATTGAGAGAGATATGCATTGTCAAAGTTGGCCAATTTTTGAAAAAAATGCATGAAGCAAATATTGACCAAATTTGGATTTTTTCCAAATGGGCCTATCTTTTCAAGTTTGAAACTCATTCCTATTATGGTCCACGACCTCTAAGCCCACCCATACATTTTTATACTATTTATGTTATTTATTTTGATATTTTATTCATTAAACTTCAGAATTAAATAAATAAATAATAGAAATAATGTAAATTTTGATGTGAATCCATTTTGGGTAAGTTTTATGCTGGTTTATGTCAATTGATTTCGTGCAATAACCCTTCAAATATGTACAGGTTCATCCACATGTGAAAATGGCATAAAATCATCAAATATGGCATTTTTTTTCAAATTTTGATCATGGTCTTAAAACACAACATTATGAGGGAGATTCTTTCCATGATTTCTTGTCTCCTCATTCTCCTCTATAAATATAGAGCCATAAAAGCTTGGAACACATGAAAATTACTCTCTAAAAAGCTCTAAAAAATCTCTTCAAAAAGCTCTCCAAAAGCTCTTCAAAAAGCTCTCTAGAAATCAAAGAATTGGTGCAAGTCATATCTCGATGTTCCAGTCTCTCTCGATTGACATCAAGCCTCAAACCATCCTCTTGAAGTCCTCAGTAGTCTTACAAGGCCCAAGAGTAATCCATCACACCCCCATTTGATAACACCGGTTTGGTAAAATTTTAAATTTCAAATCTCTAATTTTAATCATATTTCATGGCATGCTAACATTTGTTTGAGTTTATATAGAACAGTTATGGATGGTTGAATCAGAGGTTTCACGCAAGAATCTGAAAACACCATGGTTAGGGCATGAAGCTTTCGAAGATTCAGGCCTAGGAATTTCTGATGATTTCACCCCTTGTTTACTTTTGCTACTAGGCCCATCTTTTTTTTCTTGTTTTATACATTTCATTTATTTCTTTTAATCCCTTTTTTTATTTTAATCAATAAACAAATATAAAAATCACATAAAAATAAATTTAGGATTTTTCTTAAATAAATTTTATTTTTTGTAAATTAATTAACTAATCACTTTAACTTTTTTTTTTAAATTAAAATTAATAGAACTTAGGTTTAATTTCATTTTAATTCATTTTCTTTTTCGTAACAAAAATACCAAAAAAACATAGAATTAATTTCTTTTATTTAAATTTCATGTTTCTTTAATAATTAACTTTTTTTTAATATAGATCTAGATCAATTATTTTTCAACTTAAACCATTTTCATAAATTAAAATAAAAAACAACAAAAAGATTTTTTATATCTTAGGATTTTTAGACGTCTTTTCAAATTTGCGCATTATTATTCTTTCACACTTCCTGTTATTATTGTAACTGTATATTGGGATGTAATAGATGATCAGTAGGACCTTTACCGCTTTTATTTATTTTTTTCCTCAGTTTTGGATATGTACATAATCCCCCTCCCTGAAGCCTTGTAATAGCTAGGTTTTATATTTCTGCACTTTTAAATTACTGCAATTATTAACTGCTAGATGTATGACTAATAGGATTGTATGGCAAGAATAATCAAACATTAGCAAACTTAACACAAGACTAAAATAACTGAACATAACACACCTTGCACATATGCACCCTTAGGGTATATCTCACTTGGTTGCCTCGGAAAATAATGGTCATGTCCCTCGAACGTAGGGATGTCTTAGCAAAGACCCTTAATTCTAAAGTCATCATAAAGATCATGGTCCGTAACGTCCCTCGAGTTGCCTATGAGAAATGATCTTGTCCCTCGATGTTGCCTATATGATGACAATCCCTTCGAATGCTAAGATATCTTTACATGTTGCCTTCGATGACTGTAGGGATCTTGCTCGTCAACGTCCGTTGCCGATCCGGTCATCAACATCTGCTTTCTTTTCTTTGGGACAAGAATGGTTATATCCTGGCAGTGAGCTTCTCGTACCTGTCGTCCAATCCATTAGCGTCCAGCCATTACGAAGAGAGCCTCGGGGCATCCGCTTAAACCCTAGGCTTGAAGCCTTACAACTTTCTCAGCTCAAGCTATTTTTACCTTAGACTGAAGCGCATTCACTCATAGGACGACCATCATGTACTTGTACTCAAGTGACGATGAACACTGAACCTAACAGCCGAGGAGACGATCTCTGGTAACAAAGAAGAGTAGATTACCAATTAAGTCACCGCTCCATGGGCTTTTATGATTACACTACTCACGAATCTATCTATCCAATTTATTACTGAACTTGACTTGTCTCCGATTGCCATGCTGCGCTTTTCGCTCCTTATCCCGTACAGAACGAAGTGAATCTTATTTAAACATTCATTGTTATGGGCCGTCTTATTGCACTGAATGACGGATCACATGGGGTGGATCCTACTAATGCAATGTTTTGTCCGTGTAGGAAGGTATTTTTAACATCTAGCTGGTATAGAGACCACTTCTTTGATGCAGCAATAGCCAGTAAAGTCCTAATCTTCACAAACTTAAGTTAAGGTTTCCTCCCAATCTATCCAATATTGATTCTTGAGCAAAGCCTTGAACAGGACGAGAGGAATAATGGCCTACCTCAGGCATGTTATCTGGAACTGGATCATGGCTTGAGTCTGGAGAGGGAGAAGCGTTGGTTTACTGATCTCTTTCAGGTCCTGGCTGAGCTTCAACAAGATCTGGTGTTAGACGAAGTTTATTTCTGGTATACACTATGGTTGATAGTGTATGAGTCACAAGCTTCTCTGGCTGATATATATGAGTAATTATTCACGGTGATACTCTCCGGGGGCAAACAAAACTAGACTAATCAGTGTAGGAGAAGACAAAGCCGAAGATACAGAAAGAATCGTCTCCAGCGCACCGATGGGAGACGGGGCCCCCGCAAGGAAAAGTGCTGCTCTCATAACCGACTGTTTTTAATCTTTTTATGGATGTGATATATCTGATGTTCAATTCTGTCATAGGGGCTGCTGCACACTGATATAAAAAAAAATTTATTACGTCATCCGAGTGAAAATCAGACGATGTAGCAGTTTGACCTGTCTATTAATGTCACGTCCCGCCTGTGCAGACTGACCTTTCTTTCATGACACTCTCAGCCATAAGCTGTATTATGTGTTTTCGCTAGGACCTACTTCTTTCGGGGCTACTCTCCTCCCGCTAGAAATGTAATAATACATCGAGAGTCTAATCCCGTGGCCCCCTCCGGCCAAATAAGTTCATTTCGCTCTCAGCGACCGCTCTTCGTTTAGGACGGACCGCTCTTCCTTCCTATTCGGGTCCTCCTTGACTTATCTTTCTCCGGTCGTCCCCTCCGATCATGATCTACTTACTCCCTGTGATATAGCTTATGTTCAATAGGATCGAGACTACTCTTTCAATTCACAATTAAAGGCAAGCAGGAATTGAACCCACTAATGGGCCAGCGCTTGGCGTTTAATCTAGCCCGTCTTTATAGGATAGACCTATTTATTAAGTTGTCTTTCCCCTTACCTTATCAGTAGATCGGTTGAGGCCCGGCCCTTGGGGTTTCCGACCTTTATGCCTAAGGGGCTGAGCTGTGGGTTGGAAAGAAAGAGTTGTAGAAAGAGAGGAATCGAGATAAAGTGCACTTTCCCTTGATGTCACTCCATTCCAACAAAGCACACAATAAGTGAGATGAGCCTGCCAGCTCATCCTTGGCCCTATGCCTTTTGGCCAGCTCGTCCGGACTTGGCTTTGACCGGTCTGCCCCCCTCTTGCAAGGATTCGGCGCCTCCACTTGATGCTTTACGCCCACGCTTCGTTCAGGCAGCGCTACTCAAATATGTCTTGCCTTTTTTTCGCCAAAGCTGTGCTACTTCCAGGATTTGTTTCGGCCAAGCTCGGGAACCTTCCCTTTAGTGAAAGGCTCTATCCCGGGACAAAGAGAAAGAGAGGGGGAAGGCCAAGTACGAGATGAGATCACAGGGATCGGGCTGGAGCTTGACAAGAGCGATACAGGAAACATACAATCGAAGGCTAGCAAGAAGAAGCAAAAAGATAGTAAAAGCTCAAGGGATTCATCACGAAGGCAAGTGCTCCAGCGGAAGCTATCAATTAAAAGGTCAGACCGAGTAGTGGTAGTTAACCGGGGGAGGGAGCGGCTCATCCGTAAGGATGGGATCCCTCTACTTCACGTTTTTGGCTTTTCTTTTTCTTGCGTTGACGCTTCCATTCCAAAGCGGCTCCGTCTTCGCCTCAGCCTTCTCCGCTCCCTGTTGGGTATCTCCGAGGACTTGAGCTAAGGGATTGTTTACTGAACGTCCCATACTTGACCTATCGCTCCATTCGGTGAAGTACCCCCTGACATTTCTTTATCTTTCTAGAGGTAAGAGGAAACAACCCGAAATGCGTGAACCAGTGCCCTTTTCTAAGACTCTTCTATATAAAATCTATTACAGGATTAAATCCTTCACACTTATGCGTGGTTGGAACATTTTTTGGTCATTTATGGTTGATTGGATCAAACTTCCAATTATTGAGAGATAGATAAGGTCTGATTCTAAGTCAGAGTTCGAACTGGTGCTTACACCGAAGCCCTTGCCCTTGCCAACAAGTGACGAACTACAAGTAAAGATAGAGTCCCCATAAAACTTCATGAAGATGAGATTCGCTTTAGTTGGGTCTTGCAGACGGGAAGACATACCAGCATGCGGAAGAGGTAGAGGGACTGGCTTACTAGGTCGAAGCGACAAGCCTTAGTCAAAGAGTCTGTTTTGATCTGAACCTCGATCTCTATAGTTTACTTACTCATCACAATACAAAAGAAAAATCTCCTATATAATAAGTATTCGTAACAACATCCGGGGACCACATCATTTATGTATGCTCTCGGCCAAGAAGGGCAACTACCTATCGCAAGATACCTCAAGCGAGGGGTAGGTGGTAGCTTGGCTTAGCCTTACCCCAAGCCGTACCGAACTTCAGTCTAATTTTTGCAAGGTCCGGGTAGGTGCAGGAAGTCGGAGAGAGAAGTACTGATTTATATAGGGCGCAGGTCCTCGTAGAATTGGTTTGCTTTCGCGGCAGCAGCGTGAAGGGATATTACCGTATTAAATTGAGAGCAATTGATCCCCTTCTTTCATATAGCCTACCTGGACTATAAAAACCTATGCCTCTCTAACCGACATTTGTCCTTTAGTCCTTCGGGGAGGCCTGTTGTTGGTCTTGGAGAGAGCGCTCGACCGTCGCCATGCTTCTTAGACTGAGTCAATGCGCCTATTTACTGTGCGCCTATCTGTTATCTAGGAACCTGAGATCCGGCTTTCACATTTTTTATAACTTTCGCTTCTTAGGTATAAAAATCTTCCATCTGGATTTTTTACGGCAATGACTAAGTATAGTCCCATTCTTCAACATTCGGAATGGCGATCTTGGCCCGACCCTCTTTCTTATCTTTTAGGTACTTTTGCTACAGCAGAGGGCAGTTGCCAAGAGTGGAGTTCACGTGTCCCAAAGGGAAGAGCTCTGGAGCTCCCTCTCCCTCTATTTTAAGACAGACTTTGAGTTTGAGCAGGAAGGGCGAGATGACAAGGGAATCGGCCAAAGGCATCTATCATCTCATCGGAGAAGCGGTCCTAATCTAATAAAGGGTTGCCTTGCCTTACCAAAAGGAGTAAAATGTAAATGGCAATCCCTGGTGCCAAGAAAGTAACCTTTATACTGCTCAATCTAATCCTGCCTAGCATATGCTGGCATGGCAACAAAGGCCCTATTCTCATATTATAGCTATGCTTGGAGCTTGCAATCCTTGAAAAAGCCCAACCTGCACATTGCTCTATTAACTGCACCTGCCTTCGGTCTTAGTTCGTAATGACAAAATTTATTCTTTTAAGGAAGAAAGCTTGGGGACTGATTCACTGACTTCACCACCAGCAGCGGATAGGACCAGAGCTTCTATTTACTCAACAGCTCTTACTGTAACAGAAAAGACTGGCACCGGTTGGTTATTCAACAGCAGATAGGCTTAGAGCCAGTAGTTGCCCTTGGATTATTCAAATGTCATTGCAGATGATCTTCTCGGGCAGTGATATCCCCCACCCAAAGCAAGGGTCCGAAGGATATAAAGTACTGCTTATTCTAATTCGTATCTTAAGTCTTTCCAGTTCCTATTCAAGTGAACGGGGCATCTTTGCATTCCTCCTGGCTACACGAATAGGAAAAGTTTAAGTTGTTATCGGAGCAGGTAATCTCTCCTGCCCTGCTTATTGAGACTCGTCTCCATCCTATCTGCTCTTGTGCTAATGTTGAAAATCTGATTATAATTGGATAAAAATCAAGAATAATAGGATGCTTAAGCCAATAAGATAGATAAAGCATACCCCTACTACTCGTAAAAAAACTATGTCACTTCCTTCCCCAGCGTTCAGTGGAATGTGAGGCACTATTCCCACAGCAGCTGGTTGGATTCTCCAACTTTGGCAAATGAACCCCGTTCAAGTTCCATCCCAACTGTCTCATCTTGAGAAAGGGCAATATGGAAATCTTTATTAGGTCAATCAGGCTTCGCACCTTCCTTTCCCCGTGGTTTAATCGGAGTAACCGCTTAATACATATTATTTGGCAAAGCAAGCTCACTGCCTTAATTTAGGAGTGAAAGAGCCCGAACAGCTTTTATTGCACCAAGAGCGGGAACTCAGACATCGTATGAGTAGCTCGGATCTAGCTAGACTGCTCGCTAGGCCCCCTGCCTCTCTTTAAGCATCAAAATAGGAGATCTTTGGGTCTCGGCTATCACTTTACTTTCCTAAGTTTCAAAGGATTTAAGAAGCTGACTCTCGCAGCGGTTAGTGATTCAATCACACCGGAAAGGATAATTCTCAGAGCGTCAAGGCTTAGAGCTTCTTCTCAAGCTGCCTATTTTGTGCGTGGGTTAACTATTGATTCAATTGCGCAAAGAAGCCTAGTTGTCCTAAGAGCTGATTCGGGAACTGCTTCAATTCCAAGAGGAGCGCTTACTCTTGCAGCTTTTTATTTCACAACTCTTTCTATCACAACTTCTTTTTCCTCATACGGATCTAAGCTCTCGCAAGTGCCTTCCCTTCCTTCTTGCCTATTCGATAGGAGCTTGCATTCTCAGGGGGAGTTTTTTTATATAAAATAATAGTTGGCATCAGTGTTATCAGTGCATCTATGAATCCAACCTTCCCTCACAGTGGGATGGGATAAACGCAGATTCATCCTTGCAATGGTTATTTCGGATTCTGTAAGAGCGGTACAAAAAGGCTATGAAGATTGTATGCTTTCCTTTACACCTTCAAGCTTGAAGGTTCGCGAAAGCAGTTCGGTGATTGCAAAGTACTCAATCAGGCCCTATCTCCTATGCTACCATCTATCTTCGATTATAAAATTGATAGTTAGAGGGAATTAAAGATAAAATCCTAAAATAAAAGCACGCATGATAAAGTATACAATAGCACCATCTCTTCCCACTACGCGCTAAGAAGGAAAAGAAAGGACAGACAGCAAGCAGGGAAGGGGATTCTTTTTAAGCCTACTACTCTTTGGCCCGCTTGCTTGCATGGAATGAATAGGCTTGCTGACTGGCTTACCTACTGGAACTATCAAGCATAAAGCAGAGATGCCATACTCTTCTTTCGTGCACTATGCTTAAGACATATAATTAGAAGAAAGACATTTGCAATTGGCTAGGGCAGTTCCCTACACGGGCGAATTCCGACACTCACAGTACTCCCCACAGCTTTCGCCTACTGAGCTTGGGAGGGTAAGCTCTGGGGCCTCTTTCCTTCCCCTGTGTTCCTCCCCCCGCTTCCTAAAGTACTTTCCTTTGGCTTGGAAGGCAGCCACTTATTATGGAATGACATATATGATGATGATGGTAGCTATCTGCCTAGCCTCTGGTACATATTTTATTAATATTATTTACCATCCTTAACAGATGACTTACATTGTAGAGAAAGGTTTATCTAACTAGTTAGGGAGTTTGGCTGACCACCCAGCTTTCTGACGCTTTCTCGACGGTAGGCACCCAACGTCGCCAAAGAAATTAGCCTCTCCTTCTTCCTCAATAGATTTATTAAAATATCCATGGTGCTGGTATGCATACAGTGTCGGAGCTTGAATGGCCTCTCATTTCATTTTTGAAGTAGCAATTCACCAACTCTGGGCATGGCGCAAGAAGGTGCAACATAATGATTCTTTTCATTTTCCTCATAATCCTAGTGATCTCATCATTGCTAAAGCCAAGGAAATCCATAAGTGTTTAGTGAAAGCTCTTGATCTTAATCATCGAGAGGTAGAGTTTATCAAATGGGAAGCTCCCTCCCATCCTTTTGTTAAAGTCAATGTTGATGGTTGCGCCAAGAATAATCCAGGACCTGCAATGGGGGACTCATTAGAAATTAGAATGGAGAATGGATCATTGGATTCATGGAGAACCTAGGACATGCTACGAACTGTGCCAGCATAATTTTTTGCCATTTATCCAGGTCTTTCTCTTGCCTGGAACTCAGGCTTCAGAAGCATCTTTAAGCGGATTCGGAGGTCTGTCTCATTAGTATTATCCAACCTGTGCTGTGGTTGATGGCCTCACTCGAGCTCTAATTCCATACTATATTATCGATTTTCAGGTTAAAAGTCCGAGTGGCCCCGTGAGGATGCGGAAAGCCAATCCAATGATAAGAGTGGTTAATTGGGCTCTCTTCGAAGGATTTCAACCTTGATGCCCTATCCATGGCGGCACCTAAGCCGGATTTATTTTTTTAGGGACGAACTGAAATACCCCATCATAGCACTCTAAGGTTCAGCGGGGAACTATTGAAGCTTCCAGCTTTCCACCTATATGGATTGTTTTAGCGTAAATAGACACGATCTTCGTTCGGTACGCGTCCAGTCTCTCTAAGCCCTGAAACCGTAACTATGGCTATGTTCTCAGATCCGTCTTTTCTGCTGTTCAAAGATCTCTCTGATTCCCTTTCTTTCGAAGTGGCATTGCCCAAAGTCGAATCCAAGGCTTGACACGGTCTTCTTAGCCCAGGCTAACTAGAATAGTTAGTAGCTTATAGGATCCCAAAGCAATAACCACAGATGGAGGAGCATTCGTCTTTTTAACCAGTTTTCCCCGACCAAGATATCCTGCCTATCCCGAAAAAGGGACTCCCTCCTTCCTTATTCTTATTCAACTAAAAGTAAAGTAAGGAAGATAAAAGATAAAGAAGAATCCTAACCAGAAGATAACCGGATCTTTCTCAGAGTAACAGAATGCAAGTCTTTACCTTTGGCTAGATATAGAGTCGAGTGAGGCGAAATGAATTGCGTATATAAATATAGCAAGTAGTTTTTGTTTCGTGAACGTGATTTGTGTGGGGTCAATGTACTTGCCGAAACTCGCTTGGCAGAATAATCTTAGCCAAAGCGAAGAACCGGCTTGACATGCCGCGAATCCTCTGGAAAGAGAGGGGTGGGGTTTCTCTCGCTTTCTCTTTTCCTCCCAAAGTTCTATCCTTATAAGCTTTATACACAAGGCAAGAGCCTTCGGGTATTCTTTTCTTCGGATGATAACGGTATGACCAAAAGGGCGAGACCCAGGAGTCTTTATGTCTAGGACCGGGTGGAAGGAGCCATCTCCATACTCTCTAGTGGCACGAACTGACCTAAAAATTCTATAGAAGGCATGAAGCTCACGTTCTCGCAATCTGCGGTCAATGCCGGTTGAACTTCGGCAGAGACCTTAACAATAGAACCTCAGAACGGAAACTTTAAACATTGATGGTATGTGGAGGATCTGGCCTCACGCAACCAAGGCTTTCCAAGTAGTAAGTTGAATGAAGTGAGGATATCTATGACATGGAAGGTGGACCAAAAGGTTTGGCGTTTTTCAGGCCTATTTGAACATCGGCAATCAGCCTGCCTCTTACTGGCCTTATCGAATTCTCATAAGCGGTTATGTACACGGGAGAAGGAGCCAGTGAGTCCTCATAAATGTCAAGGGCG